ACAACTGAGTATCATTTACTCATATTTGCTAAACTGCGAAAAATTGGAGAACTTACATATCTCCCCAAATTTCGACTCTTAACAACCATAAATAGAATCTGTGTTTTGGCCGATTCCACCAGTAAATTTCATTCCACTCAAAATCTAATAATTCTCTTCTCACGATTTATTAATAATTGTTAATTTAAGTTCCCATTAATTAAAGTATAGTTTATTCAACTGCCTCTGGTCGGTTTAACAATTTCTTACATAACATTCTGAAAATCACATCATCTGAAGTGATTTGGCAACGTTTTGGCACACGCCCACAATTCGTTCCATCTTTCAACACAGACATTGACAACCTTCGGCCTTCTGTCAAAAGGTTCATCTCACTCATTATTCCATGACCACCATTTTGTGCAATCATCAAGTGGCTTCACGATGTAATGCTCTAATGTTTTTAAATAATTTTTAATCTGTCTTTAACTTGTTCTTGTCATATTTTATATAATTTTGACCATTGTACCATGTATCCAGCTCTCACCATGTTACTGGACGTTTCCCTCATCCTATACGTAAACAACAATTAGCAACATCATCACATACTACTGTAAGTTGAGTCAATTTAAATTCATTTTACACTTTTGTTGCTACTGTTATCATTGTAATTGCAGCTCCTGATGATGATGGCAAAGTCCAATCAAAGCTAGAGAGAATTAAAAAAGTATAAAGAGTCCTCTTTGCTTAAATTTTGTCGAAGTACCCAGCAAAAGGCGGAAGCTTTAATTTTTCACCTAACTGGTCTGGACGACAATGACCACGTCTCAAGATATATATATATAAATATATGTATTTGCTTTATTGATACAATAACAATTGCTCCTCACAAAACTTCATCTTTTACTAAATGTTTTACTTATAATGCTACTATCATGTACAATGCTTTACCCTCTGATACTAGAGCTTTAAGTTTCAAGAATTTCAAAGATCATTTAAGTAAAATAATTTTCGAGCAATCATTTACATAAATTTAGTGTTTGGTATATATTTTTTTAGATTGATATTTTACGGGTTAAGTGGTAGAATAGCTTATGCTAAACTTCGCCCAATAAAGACGTTTTATTAATAAATAATATTATATCCCAAAATATGAGGAACGAGACTAATACAAATACGCTTGAGTTTCTGGGATAAGGATGACTTTTGACATAATTACGTATCACGTATATCAACCTCTCTTGTAATAGCCTTGAAGTCAACACCACGTCAGTAGCACTCGGTGAATTTCAAAGTTCAGCGACATAAATATGAGGGTCGCCAAATATACGAAAATAACACAAAGGCATTCGGGTACATCCTCTGTCCTCTCTATTAAGCTATATTCCAGCGCACAATAGCCCATAAGCAAAGGGAGGACCCTCTGACAAAGCACAAGTTGACTGCTTGTTGGAAAAGCTTGCTTTCATTTATATGGTAACCTTCTATTATGTGGCTGTGCCACTAGCATTACGTAAAAGCTACTTCAACGCGGGTGCCTGTTTATCTACTGCTTCAAATATTATGTGATGCAATCTAATATCACGATAAGTTCCTTTCTTACTATAGGAGGAATAATGGGTCTGCAACAAACTTGTTCTGTTGGAGTAGATTAGAATCCTAGTAAAGTACTGCAGCAGCGGTGAATTACATTTTATACCCTCTTGCATACTTAATCGATGTTTCAATATCACCTGCTGTATTTCCAAGTTCATTCAAAACTGCTAGAGTTATCGCAGTAAACAAGAAGCAAAATGAGAATGACATGGGAAATTATCAATCATTATTGATCAGTAGCAAAAATTCCGGGAAAAGGAATTTTCGATGGAATTATGCACTTCTTGGATCCCGTTAATAAGTTTGTTTTGCTTTGGAAAGTGGACAAAAATACATGGGGCTCTTTGTAGCTTTGAGTAAAGCCTTTTATCTGGTCAACTACATAATCCTCGTAGAGAAACTTTACAGATATGGATTATGAGGCAATACCAATCATTGATTAATGTCTTATCGTTCTCAGAGAAAACAACCGGTTGATATATCTGACGTATTTTCTGATGTAGTTGAAATCAATATTGGTATATCTCAATGATTAGTTGGGTGCTTTACTTCTTTTTATATATTTTTACGATCTGCCTATGTTATGATTCATGAAGTGAATCTCACAATGCACATGCACATGATAAATAATTCCTGTTTATGTCATCAGAATAAAATAGAACAATGTATCCTGGAAATGTGGCAGGTGTAATAATTTGATTGACTGGTTTTCTTCTAATAAGCCTGTCCTCAAATTGAATAGGTTAGGGATATGAAATCTCTTGGAGTTTCTAGCGATCATTTGAATTGAGAGATGCATATGAATGCTTTGTGTCAAAAATTTCGGAATGTTTACAGACCAAAATTTTTATAAAATAGGGATGTTCTTTGGCCTTTTTATTATGTTTATGTTTTGCGAAGATAAAATATTGAATTATTTTTGGAGGTCCTGTCATCTTGCGCTAAGGCCCGTATCGTCAGTCGTCCCTACAATTGTAGGGCGCGTTTATGGCCTCCTTGATTGTCATACTCCTTTCTCTCCTTCAAAAATTTCTAGATTACACTTGTCCCGTGTCAGCGTCAGCGCTCTCCTATTATGAAGATATGTTTTCTTTTTAAATTGTAGGAAATTTCAGGCTGATAAAACATGATATAACTCAAAAGCAAGCACAATTTGATGCAAATAGATGTTTGTGACATAACCTCAAAATAGACCGCTGACATGGAGAAGTAGAAAACTATGACAATCAAGGAGGCCATAAAGGCTCCCTACAATTGTAGGGACGACTGACGATACGGGCCTTAGAGTACTTCTTTCGCAAAAAGGCCGCTTAGGAATATCCTAGGCTGTGAAAGAATAACGCATTTTAACTTTGCCATCTATTTCTATTTAAATTCATTTGTTGTTCCTAATCTAAGTTAAGTTTAGATGAACGAAACCCCATTTATATGGCCACAGAGCTATAACGTAAATTTAGAACCATCATAAGAGATTTTGGCTATTTTGGCAAGTTCAAAAAAAAAGTTGTGTTTCTAGTGGCAAAAGCTTATTACACACTGAATTTCTGAATCAATAATGTATTCCTATCCTTTTTAGTGGGTTTTCTATGATGTTATTAATAATGCCATTTTTGAAGTATTTTTAATTTATTGTTAATATTTGTGTCTTGTGAACTTTAACTATGGTTTGTCTTCTTGGTCCAATAAGTTATTTATTTATTTATTTACGGTAAAGTCGAAAAAGCTCTAAAATCGGCAGACCAAGTTCATTAGTTTTGAGCCTGAATGCATATCTATTAATGTATAAAGTTCAAGATAAGTAGATGGTAGCATCAGGATCTCGGGAGCATTTTTCATCAGAAATTTGAGTTTTATTTTTTTTTAACTTTGATATCACTAATTTCCGTCGGTCTATTTGTAAGTGTTCTTCTAGCTTTGTTAGCGGCTATACATAATTTGAAACAATTGGAAACAATTACGGACAAAAATAAAAAAGTTTCACATCCTTCCCAAACTTCGGTTTTCTATATGTTTCACTATCCGGGGATTATTTAATTTTTTGAGTTACTAATTTTTTTATAAGAAAATAACAAATATCACTAATAATACCCAAAGTGTATTTGTGTAACAAGGACTTTCAATTTGTACGTATGATAAACAATTGGTGCGTGGGAAATACTATCTATTTGTCAACTTTTTTTACATAGTATAGAGATCTTTTATCGTTTCAAGCAATGTTTAAGTCTCATATGAGTATGCATATCTACAATCAGGTCGAAATGTGCATATAAACAGTTTGATGTAGTATGCTGTAAATTTCAGAGAAATGAATTTAAATTTAAGTTGCTCCCCAACATTGATTTACGATTTCAATCGCATAGAATAGAATGTCGTTCCCAATATGTCGATACACGTCTCCAAACTTGGTCCCTAAGGATTATCCGTTTAGTTCAGACACAATGGAGTGCAATCAGCAATACACTCTAGGCCACGCATTCGACAAGAGAGATACTTGATGAAATGCGTTGTGATCAGGAAATTCCATTTCTTTACTGGTTCTAGGTCAAATGAGATGAACTAAGACCGTATTACAAAACGTTCCTGGGAGTTTCTTTTCTCAGAATTCGGTAAGTTTGCTAGACTTACGGCAAAGAAAGGCTTTGTGTGGCTTTGTAGTATGCTTGCAGGTAAGCTTGCGAAAGAGGAAGAACCCAGTACGAGGGATGTCTTTTAAGTTTTGCATATAGAAACATAGTAGGCCGCGCGGATCGAACTCAATCTTAACCTCACTCTTTAGTAAACTCAAATTCAAAGTTTCACAACAATACGTGCAGTGTTCTCACTACAGTGCATTTTTTAGTGTCACCAAGTCATTAGAAAAATAAAACTCAACCGAGAACATTTTCACACCATAATTTATTACAACTTTCAGAGACAATTATCGCTACGAAGCGCCACATCCGTCGACAATTTCCCGTTGGTATGGAAAATTCAAACGTGGACGGGTGAGTCTTAGCGACGATCCCAGGGCAGGTGCACCAAAAATGGCAGTCACCCAGGAAAACGTCGATCTGTGCGCAAACTCATAATTGAAGATAGGCATGTGACATATCGCGAGATTGAGGCGTCCTTGAAGATCTCAAAGACTTCAATTCAAAAAATTTTACATGAAGAATTAGGAGTAAGAAAATTAGTTTCTCGTTGGATACCCCACCTGTTGACTGAAGAGCAGAAAGCAGCAAGGGTTAATTGGTGTCAAAAACGCTTGACCGTTTTAATTCCGGAAACTCAAAACATGTGTACAGCATTGTTAGTGGTGACGAATCTTGGATTTACTGTTATGAATCAGAAAATAAACAACAGTCGGCTATTTGGGTGTTCGAAAGTGAAGGAAAGCCAACAAAAGTCATCCATTCTCGATGTGTTTCGAAAAAGATAGTCGCAACATTTGTGTCAAAAGCGGATCATATTGCAACAATTCCTCTTACGAGCAAAGAACTGTTACTGCGGATTGGTATACCATCATTTGTTTGCCAAAAGTCATCACCGAGCTTCGAGAAATCAACCCCGAAAGAAGAATCATCCTCCACCAAGAGAATGCAAGCTCGCACACAGCCCATAAAACAAGGCAGTATTTAACGGAAGAAAACGTGGAATTATTGGACCGTCCTCCATATAGTACCGATCTAAGTCATAACGATTTCTTTACTTTTCCGAAAATTGAAAACAGACTGCGTGGACAAGGGTTCCAGTCACCAGAAGAAGCAGTTGACGCATTCAAAAATGCCGTTTTGGATCTGCCAGCAAACGAGTGGAATAAGTGCTTCGATAATTGGTTCGAGAGCATGCAGATGTATATTAATCTTCGTGGAGAATACTTCGAAAAACAATAAAGTCATTTAAAACTACCTTCCCTTGTTGTTTTATTTCCATATGCAAAACTTACAAGACATCCCTCGTAATTAGGTTTGGTTCAGCTACACTTTAGCTGCTAAGAGTTAGCGCTGCATTAAGTCTACTAGATGTTATATGAATGTCTGCTTTCCAAATCTTAAAATCTTTTAAATTAATTGACAGTAGCGTACATATATGAAACCGCCAGGGGTATCACGTTTCGTGAAAAGTGACATTATGTCTTTTATGGACATTACATAGATTTTTTGTGACATTATAATTGACAATCAAATTTTCCTGATGGCTAGAGTTCAATGGCTACGAGAGAGGTGTATAAGCACATATGTTAGAAAGAGATAGAAGCCGGCTGGGTAGCGAATCTCATCGCGATGTCGCTTAGCAACGCCGACGTGGCAATCTGCCGCAATGCCAGTATGTTACACCAGTTCCTCGAATTAAGAAGTAATTTGAAAACATGCATTGTTTATTCTTTACGCTCAAATCATTGTTTGATTTTGAGCGTATACATTTTTAAATTGTAAACTGTGTCGAATCTATTAGGATCGATTCCGGATTTTGGTCAGAACCCATTTAGCGCCTGTAGGGGTGTGTCGCCCTGTTTCGAAATGTCTTTCACCTGCGTACACGTATGCAGTGATAACTTGTATTGCGTAACATTATTTATTACATTTTCCAACCGCTGCGATGTAACAATAACTAATAATGTATGGGTTTTATCACCATGATAGTTCTAAAAAAAAATGAAACACTAAGTTGCATCAAAATTGAAATCAGTAAATAATTATAACCAAAATTAAAACAAAATGATGAATTAAATTTTGGAACAGACCTTCTTCTCCAACTTAGTGTAGAAGCCTCAGCGAAAATGTTCTGGTATAACACATTGGGAACGGGGCAGATTGCACTACCTTTTGCGTCACCGTCCCTAGGCAATGTGGTGATGACCTTCGCTGAGCAGCCGGCTTCTATCTCTTTCTAACATACACACTTGTCGCGCTTCTCTCTCGTACACATTAAACTCAAGTCTTCAGACAAATTTGGTTTTTCCTGTATAGGTTTTCCTATAAACTATCAACTTGAAACCACCTGTTGTTCACTTGATGTGCACTCGTTGTGTAGCTGTACGTGTGTACTGATGTGAGGTAACATCTGCCTCAGAGATGGCATTATTGGAGGTCCAAGCTGTAAGTTGTAAACTAGAGTTGGAAGGATACGGCACTGCATAGGTGTTTAGCTGTGGTGCATAGTGAGGACTTGTGTGCTAGTAATCTGTGTTGATGATAATAACATTGGCATACATCTCAAATACACTTATTTGAGATGTATGCAAAGCTAGGAATTAGTTGTGTATCCACTTTATCTTATTCATCCTGGAAGTTATATATGCAAATTTGCTAAATTTTAAATATGAAAGAGATAATAAAGAAAATCCCTGATTGGTGAAGTATATTACAACTAACAGGTGAGAAAATAGGCTGCAGTCAGGAATATTTATGAAACATTTTACGGAATTTTTTATTTCCAGTCGTTTAAATTTTATAGAAATTTATTCTGCGATCTTAAGTAAAAAATACAGCGTCTAGATGTGAGGCACTGCGTAAATATGTTCTGTGTGATGCATCATTCCTAATTTTTCTGTGATGCGGCTTCGAAGGTAAGGTTATTTTTCAAAATGAAGCCTTACAGTATATTCAGATAAGAGATAGACCGGACATAAACAAGACCACGTGATCATCGAACGCTGTAACATTCGGCAGGGACGTATTAAGAGTCACGCAGTACATATTTTAGATAGTAGATGCTGCTTTGCGTAACTTTGTAGTAAATTAGCACAATTCGATGTGTATACGATTAGTGATGGATACAGGATCATGTGGGGGTGGGGTAAGAAATATATAATGATGTAAATATACATAAGGGTTTCAAAATTTTCGCTTCGATTTCCAGCTTCGGATGCCGCCTGATGTTTGGTGAAATACAGTCGAATATAATCTCAAAATGGCGTTTAAATTTGCCTAAATTAAAAATAATCGTATATCTCTTAAAATTGCTTTTAGAATATTGATTAGTATATTTTTTGATTTCTAGGTAAATATGTAACCAAATTAAAACGTTCAAAACGTAAAAAAATGTGCATGGTTGAACATTGTCAGAAAGTAGATTCTTGAATAGGTTTTGCCAAAATGGGTTCAAAAATGTCAATAATTAATTAAAAAATACAGTAGCTTTATAATTACTTATAGCTTACCGAATTTGATGAACGACATCTTTTATTGGAAAGATGAGCTTGATGAGCTTTCATCATCGCTACTGCCTGAAACACCAACGTCAATAATGAATGGCTCGACTTGTTCCTCTAAAATATTGTCCAGTTCCCACATTCTCTTTTCAACTTTGTCTTTCACGTGCTTAATACAGTTTTCCCATTTTTGTTATTAATTCTAGTGCTTCTTTGAAAAGTCCTTTGAGGTCACAAAATTTAAAAGTTGTATTGTGCTTAGCTATATAATTTTTAACCTCTGCCCATATGAGCTCAATGGGATTGAGCTCGCAATGGTATGGAGGTAAACGGAGCACAGTTTTATTTTGACTTGCTGCCATTTCGTCAATGGCGTATTTTTGATATTCCGCCTTGTGATCCTTGACAATTCTTAATAATTGTACTTTCAGCATTGCTTCTTCAATGTTGATATTTTTCGAGCGGAGCCAATTTTGAACATCAACTTTCCTTGAAGCCGTTGTTGGGACCTTCTCCATTCTTCGAGAATGATAAGGCGCATTATCCAACACAATTACTGCGTTTTCCTCTAAGTTCGGTAAAATTTTTGAAAACCACTGTTCAAACGATTCGCCATTCATTTCCTCGTGGTAATCTCCAGTTTTCTTAGACTCAAAGCACCACAGACCGTCAACAACAAATCCATCCTCACTGCCAATATGGCAGATAATGAGCCTTTTCCCTTTACCTGGAAATCGAAGTACTAACTGGTGTAGATTTATTTCAATAAGCGAACCTTTTTCAAATGTTGTCATCACATTCAGCGAAAAAACATTGAGACATGAGTATCAGATTGCTATAATTGGGATTATTTAGTCATATTGAAAGAAAGAATATTGAACGTCGTATGATTACTCAGCGCTTCACAATTTAATTTAAAGTTATAAACCTTTAAGAAATGAATGATCAGGAACCTGAAATACGCGCAAATATTAATATTAACAAATTATAACTTTATAAAGCTCAAAGTATGAATTAAAATGATTAGAAATATTAGGAACGGTACACAATATAAAACTTAGTAACTTTTTTTAAGTTTATAATATTCGACATATTTTAAGATTATATTAAAAAATTATTGAAATATCGAAAACACATAGAAACATGGCTTAAAAAAGTTCTAACAAATGAAAATGACAATAAAACATCCACGCATTTTATCGAAAGTTATAAAAGTTTTGTTACTTGTAATATGTTTTATCTGCCCCCTGGAAATAATGGTTAGAACCTTGTTCCCAAGGTTTGAAAAACATCCGATTTTGTGATTTTTTTTGTATTGTCATAACACATTAAACACTGATGCGCGACACACCCCAACTTTGTGAGAAACCTTCACAACAATTTCTTTGATGGTTGATGCCTCGTTCTCCTCGCGCTCGATCTTATATATATTCAAAATGACCTCTTTCATTTCTGCACTCAGGTGTCTTTTTTTAGAGCATTTCCTAGGTGGACTACAGGAGTTTACAACTTCATCGGCAGTATCTGTACTACTGGGCATTTTGCGCAAGCAGTTGATAACAATAACAAGGTATAACAATAACAACGACAAACTCAACAACTTAATAAGATAACAAACGAAAAAGTCCAAAGAAATATCAAATTGCAATGATGCACACGACATACGTAACACGTCTGAACCTGAATGTGACTCTGCCTTGATACGACTGCTCTGCCGCTCGGCATAGGCATTTAATTGCGAATTGACCAATGAGGGCTCCTGTTTTACGTCGAGATGGCGGCGTTAGCGTGAAAATCACCCGAACCTTTTGTTTACATCCGGTCTATCTCTTATCTGAATATAATGCAGATATTTTTTTCTCGTCAGAAAAGACATCACATAAATAACCATAAATATATTTCATGGGCAGCATATTCGATAATAATTTTCTCACATAGGTTACATCACTGAGTTTATGCACATGCACCAATACACATAATCATCCAAATGTGATCTTGCTACTCTGCTACTGAACCAATCTTGCAACCAATCATGCTGGCAAGCTAAGTTACAGCAAGCAATAGTGGAATGAACTGTTTGCTCACTATGAGCTATCTATTTAGCAAGTTTCCATTGCAAGCATTTTGTTGATTGTTTTTTACCACCATATATATGTAGGTTCTTTTTCGTAATAACCTTGCGTATATATAAGAGGGTATCCAAAAAAACGGAATTATTTTTTAAAAGCTATTTGTTTTCAACTTTTTCGCAAAGTAACCTTGTCTCCTTACAAATACTGTCAACTACAACTGATACACTTATCCCACCGGTGCTTCCACTGCTCGAAACATCTTTTAAAGTCTTCCTTAGAAATGTCTGACAGCTCCTCCATCGTTTTTTTCCTTGACCTCTTCAATGTCGTCAAAGCAGCGTCCTTTTATGCCCCTTTTCATCCGCACAAATAAGAAAAAGTCGCACAGAGCCAGGTCAGGCGAATAAGGTGCGTGAGGCAGCGGAACCATGCCATTTTTAGCCAGAAACTGAAGAACAGAGATGACTGCGCAGGTGCATTATCGTGGTGGAAGGGCCAGTCTTTTGACTGCCACAAATCGAGTCTTTTTTGCCGAACACTGTTTGGTAATCGTCTTAAAACCTCCAAATAGCGCAAGCTCTCGAATATTTTCAACATTTTCGTCCATTCGGGCAGTTGATTGACGTCCAGAGCGAGGTTTGTCATCAATCGACATGTCGCCATTTTTAAATCAAGCAAACTACTCGGACACCTGACTTTTTCCCATAGCATCACCTT